GGCCGCACCCCGCAGTCGGGGCCGCCCGGACCCCCGCCCGCCTGCCCCGGGGTTAAATCACCAAGGGCCGGAACCTGTACGGGTCCCAGCGACACCAGCTCTGAGGCGCGTTCCAGTGCGTGAAATTAAAGAGGAACACGGGTGAGGTTTATATTACTGTATTTAGACCGTCAATAACTTAAAAATACAGCGAAAATGTACATTATTTTTACATGTTCCATTTGGTTTGTATTTGTTAGACATTCTCGTTGTGTCTAAAATAGCCAGGAGGGGACAGTGCAAAGAGACCGGCGGTGGGACGAAATGCTAATCGCTGGGATAGGTCTGGCGGTAGGAAGCGCATACTGACAAACAGATGCGGCACGAAACCAACAGTGGCAAATCTATTCTTTACTGCAACCTGGGGAAAAGAACCCGGGATCTTACAAAAGTACAGTTAGAAACAGTAACCCTGAGGAACAGAAACAAAACAAAACGTCACATTATAAAGAACTCAAATGGTTATTTACATTCACAACCTCAAGATTAAACCCTTTCGGAGAACAAAGCCTATAAGCCCTAATGCTAAATAAATATCAAGTCTAGTTCTCAGGTAGTTTTCAAAGGTACTAAAAATCAGAAGATTTTTTTCGTACCTCCAGACTACAAAATCTGGTATACAAAATTATGTCCAATCACTTTAAGGCTAATATACATTTAATGCAGGAAAACGATAGGCGGCATCTGAAACGCAAGTATCTCAATGCTTAAAAACCATCAAATTAGCAGAAAACAGCAACTAAGGGATCATTTCTCAAATAATTCCTACCTGGAGCAAAAGTCTGGACACCGTGTCTGCAGGTATTTAAATAACGTATTTACAGTTCAGCGGTTCCATGTACAATACGATTGAGCTGGTTTTTATTGTACAGTCTCGTTTTTCACCATTTGTTTACAATATACAAAATAGTATTCAATCCATTAAAAATACGTACAAAGAATTGTTTGCTGAAGACTCTGTGTACAAGCCATCTACTGCATTTTTCCTTTACTCGGTCAAACAAATGTCCTAACTGATATCACTGTTTGCTTAGTAGAAATAGTGGCTGAGAAATACCTCTTGGCGTGATGAGATACCGTCAATTTAACAGGCCTATGTGTGCTGGGACATACCATTCACTAAACTCCTAAGTTGCTTTACTACGGTCTCTATTAGCTTCTGCTTGTCACGATCATTCTTCCTGAACTGAGCAAAAATGTTGTTCTTTTTGCTAGAGTCTTTCATTCTGGAGAAATAAAAAAGCAAATGACGCAGACACGTTAGAAACATAATTTGAAGAGGAAAAAACCAACTATTTGAATAGGTTTACATTTGTTCCTCTTTTGATCTTTCTGCTAATAAGAACTGAAAGATTACAAAACCTATTATCTATGTGCTCTTAAATTAAGCTTCCACAACGCAGAACTCGTTCTAACAAATATTATTTCACAAATTGCCCGTAAGTATTAAGCAAATATCACTTTGGCAGGAAACTGGCCCTACCAATTACGTTAGGAGGAAAGCAAACCAAAAAACCCGTTAGTATCACTTGCTTCCGTGGTAAATTCAGACTCGGCAAACGGGTGTTTTGTTCACTGTCAGATTACTCGATATCATTACTGCTGATCTCCCATATATCAATGGATTTAAAAAACGAAATTCGGGAAATAAAGTAAATTGAAGCAGCAGTATTTGGTAACAATACAGGCGATACGTACCCTCTGTGAACTCTGCAAAATACATATTCATCGCAGGCAGGAGAGGAGAGAAAACACCGTTAGAAAATGCCTTTAAATCACAGTGTGTTTTGATGCAGTTCTTAAAAGCAGGTTGCTACTCAGCTGGCGGCAACGCGCTCTCCCATACCCTGCCCGCCCCAGCCCACTCGCCGGGCCAGCCGAAACGCTCGTACCGGCTTTACCGGCGGCGAAACCCCACGCGTTTCCCTTCCCTAAAGCGGCAACTCGGGCAGCCGCGGGCTGCTACCGGGGCTCCGGCACCGCCCGCCGCTCTGCGCGGCTCTCGGCACCGGGACAGCGACGCGCTGCCGCCGGGCTCTCACCGCCGCAGCTACCGGGAGGGCGGCCCCG